TGTCCGGCCAGCACTACATCATGTCCTACCTGGGCCTGGACCCGAACACAGTTCACTACCCCTTCGTGCAGTCCCCGGGGTATGAGGACACGTATCCCCCACCCACCGGCGATGGTGGTGACGCGTTCTAGTGGCGAGTGGCTAGCTCTGTGCCTCATTTGTTTTTGAGACTGAGACTCCATGTTCTTGTTGTTTCATTTGGTTTTGTTTTTTTTTTTTTTTTGGATTGTGGACTTGGGACTCCGGTTCTGTAACGACCCGACCTTTTTCAAAAACCAAACCATAACTCAAACCAAAAACCGGTTACTCCGGAGCAACCCAAACCATATTTTAAAATAAACAAACTGACATTAATTAAGAATTTTAAACAAAAAAACTCAACACCTGGGCAAAATCTCAATCACAAACACTTAAAACAACTTAACACAGAATCTCCAGTTTATACTAATAACCATGAAACAATAAAAATTAACTATTCTAACTTGACACCTCACGAGCTTCCTGATATCACGTCAACGATGATATTGCTGCTCGCCTCGCCCTGCTTCACCTCGTGATCCACTTCTGCTAACCTTTCATCGACCTGGTGAGTGAGAAGGGGTCAGTCTCGTCGTTACTTCCTAAGGTCTTTGCCCTTAGAAATCTCCTTGCTAAAACACGTTATAAGCGTTTCCTTTCCTTAGATGAAAGTCGTTCTCACTTTCACCCTTAATACCTCATTTCAACTTTAACTCATAGAGGTTCTAAACTTTTATCCTTAAATCATAAAAGTTCTCTATTACTACCTTAACTTATATACTTATTACTAGGGAATCACCGCGTTACGTATCGTCGTCCGGTGTCCCTATCCTCAAGGCAATGGTACTGCGTTACGTATCGTCGCCCAGTCCATGCCCAATCAACTACTGCGTTACGTATCGCCGTCCAGTAGTGACCCGACCATCTACCGCGTCCAGCAGTGGCCCAACCGCCCGGGGGTTCAATTACCATCAACCATACACAACACACACACATAGCACAACGCGTGCCTCCACCTTAAGAAGGCGGTGGGATGCCTCACACACATAATCGTGCTTACTCATAAAATTAACTAAATAATAACCTCAAATGAAAAGCGTAAACTAAAAAGACCTCGACAGAGATTTTACCCCCTTTACACTCACCTCAAAATAACGACATCGATAGACCGACACGACCTCTCTTCACCTTCGGTTGACTTGATTGTACCATTGTCTAAATTGGATTATAGCTCTTGCCTCTCATTTTCATCCTCAAAATAACCACGTTAACTGGCCTAGTCAAAACAACCGAAAGCACCATCCATGATTTCGTTAATTTTGAGCTTATATTTAGCCATGAATTCCACCACTCCTTAACATGTACCCAAATTAATTACAACCCTATCTCCATTTCACAATTCTTCCAATTGAGTCATGCACCCATAACCACACTTGTCCGAACATCAGCTACCAACTACCAGCTACCAATTAGAGCCCACATGTCCATTGCTCATCAAATTTTATCCAAACCCACCTAACAATGTATCCATGTACACAATTACTGTCTTAAGTTTATTGGCCAGAAGTGATTAGTACTAATCCAAATAGGTTCTTCTCTCGTTCTACAACCACACATGCATGCACAACCAGAGAAGTTTTAAAAGGACAAGTCCTTACCTTTGCAATTAAACTCCGTCTCCACTTCATGTGATAAACTACGTAGCTTTTTGGGTTCCAAATCGTCGAGATCTATCAGTGACTCCGCGTTTGTCCCAACCTTGAGATGTGGGTCATCTAGTCCTCGTCAACGCCATGCTCCAACGCTGTCGTCTCTCCCACCAAAATTAGATCCGCCTCTCCTTCTACCTCTTCCAGTATCGTTGAACTAGTGGCTTTCCCGTCTTTGATTTGTCTATCTTGGCTCTTCGATTGCGATCCATGATACATCTAGCATGCCATTCCTCAGTTGTTTCTTTCTCTCGTGTGGTCAATTTTTATGGCGTTGCTGGTTTTGGTATAGATGATAATACAGGGAATGGATGCACCAGCGTGTGCTGTGTGTTGAATTATCCGGAGCTTCGTCACACGGAAGGGTTGGCGGCTGGAGATTTCAAGAGGAAGCCAAGGGGTGGGTTTCTTGTGGGGAAATGGAAGTAACCGCTGCTTCTCATGGATTTTCATGCTTGGATGTAACGGAGGTGATATAATGGCCCTCAATTCAATGACTGAATTAGAGACTTAATAATGGCTCGCTTAATCAACTTAATCTTGTGGTGGGAAAGCACGTGTTGATTGAGCTATATGACTTAATTGGTTGATCCAGTTTTGGCTGCATTTTAGTTCCGATATGATTTAGGTTCTCATATCTATGCTTGATCACCTATAACTTAATTATAGGTTGAACCTATAACCAGAATCCGGGGTGTTACAGGTTCTTTCACCCAGTGTGTGTCTTTTGTTGACTTTAGCTCTGTGCCTCAAACTGGTCCCCCTTCCAGACCCCTACTATTGACTGGTCTGCCTCCCAATCTTCGTTCCTGATCTCATTTCACGGTAACATCGTTCCCCTTCCATCTGCTCCATTGAGGACACTGTCGCCTTTAAGTGTGGGGGGTTCTTTGTATTAATTGGAACGTGTGTATGGGTGCTTGGAGCCTAGTCAGCTGTCCAAATTTGAGATTTGAGGGCTCCAAGTACTGCTGTTTGCTTGATGTTTGATCATATTGGCACTGTGGATGTGATTAGTGAATTGAATGGCTTTTGACTTGATGCATGACAACTTGAGTGTGACTAAGATAGCCTATTATGATGACTGAGATGTGCAGTAGAGTTGTGTAGGGGTTCAGTTTTCAACTGTTTGCTTACCAACTGTGACTTGGATTGATCACTTGCTTTGATAGTCATTTATGCATCTAGTTCAGGGAATCAGAACGAGAGATAGAGCATATAGGTAGCCATGTGAGATTTGAGCCTGCTTGTTTCTTTCTTGTGCGTTAGTTCCCTCTTCCATGATGTGTAGCATTCACGTTGACACTAGCTAAGATGATGGAGGCATAGGATTAGCCCACGACCAAATTGACTGTCCTGGTGTGTCATACCCCCTAGTCAGCCCCTTTGAGCCGTGTGTTACCCTTTCTTTCGGTCTGCAATGAAAAATCACCCTTTTGCATCTCTTTGAAGGTTCCACAGAGTGGATTTTGCATGCTCCCTGTTGTTTCTGCTAAATATAATGTGAGAGTTGGAGGTGGTTCTTAAAAAGTCGGGCAGGTGTTTGAAAAATGTGCAGAGGTGGTGGTTCTCTTAAGAAATGAAAAAAAAATGAAAGAAAACAAAGAAAAAAAATGAAAGAAAAAGAGAGCCACCACCAAAAATCTGAATAGTGCCCATTAAGTAGTGTTTCTTAGCAGTCTGGTTTGGAAATACTAGCATTTTTGTGACCTCCTTCGCTCTTGTGCTCTGAAGAATTTGAGTAATGCAGAATAGCATAAAGAAAGTTATTGGTTTGATCGACTGTGATTTTGTTGGGTTTGGAAATGTGGAACCTTGTGCTATTACTTCCACCACCTAAAAGGCATTTTCCCCATGTCCAATACCCTAGCCAGTAATCTGAACCTGTGTCTAAGACCTCCAGATTAGTTAGTGGTGACACCCCATATATGAACTCTAGCATTTAGAGGCTGCATTCATGGTGAAGAGACGTTATGGATTGAGATAATAAGCATGCGCATTTTTCGCATCAAATTGTCCTGACCCCACTGGTCGAGAGTGAGCGATTCATTTTCTCATTTTCTCTATACTCTTTATCCCGGTGAGGACCTAGATTGCTCGGTCTTAATTCTGATATCTTGAGCTTTGTGCATGAAGTGACTGTTTTGAATAAGTGGTTGAGTCAAGTCTATGTTGGTTTGTGAACAGAAGGGAACTCTTCATTTGCTCGACTTTATTGCATTCGAATGTCATCTGTGGTGGTTGTCTAGGTTGTCGTTGGAGTTGCCATGTGTTAATGATCGAAAGCCAGTATGATCCACGTGTTTTGTGCCGATATGATATGCCCTAAAGCCTGCTTGATTGAAACGTTTTGAGCTTACCTGGTGTCTGACTTGGTTTTCTTGGGGACAAGCAAACGGTTAAGTGTGGGGGAATTTGATAACGATGTAATTGCACATGTTTGCACCCCTAGTTCTTATCCGTTTGTGGGGCATAGTCGTGTATTTTTGGCCTATTTTACGCCGGGTTGTGCTACTTTGTCATGGACCAATGGACCATTACTCTATTGCTATTTCATTAGGTATAATTTAACTAAACATTCATTGACATATTAGTTTATGATTAGGTATTTTTAGGGCCTTACTGGACCACTAAAGAATTCAAATCGTATTAGTCATAATTTAATTATACGCTCACTGACGTAAAAATTCAAGCTAAAATTGATTAGTTAGTTGGACTCGAACCTTATCGGTTGCCTACATACCCGTTAGACTGGATCAAAGTCCACGTAGTTCGTTAGAACTTTGATAATTTAGTTGTAACCATGTTCCACAAATCGTGATTCTCGTATTAAGGATTTTGTAAACAAAATTTGAATAAGTTATTATGAGGTTGTTAAGAGAAACAAAAGAATTTTAGTTGTTAGGAAGATATTTGATGTATTAGAAAAGAAATAGGATTAACTTAATCCTATTCAAAATTTTGTATTAAGAATATTAAATGATAAAATGAAATGGAATGATTAATTTATGCATGATGAGCTGGCAGCTCAACTGGTTTGCCCGCTGGTTACAATTCATGTGCAGTCATCACCACACGAGTTTGAAATTCGGCAGCAGCAATTTTAGTGTTTTTTTCGTTCTGAGATAGATGAAAGGGTTAGTTTTGTATTTTCACAAAAGGACGGTGGTAGGGCCAAGTAAATTGCTAGGACCCCTAGGGGCGATTAAGTCATTTTAACCAACAGGGTATATAACCATCTCTTAGAAACCTTACTCCACTTTAGCCTATGACCGAGCGGCCGCCTCTCTCACTATCTCTCTCGTTTCCTTCGCCGTAAAAAAAGTGACGACCCTCTTCTCTCTCTTTCTCGATTCTTCGCCTCTCTCTCTCTCTCTCTCTCTTTCTCAGTCCTTCTCTTCCCATCTGGAAGAACAAAGTGAAAGCAAAAACAAATGAAAGAACAAATCGTCTTCTTCCTCTCACTCTCCCTCGTCTTACCCAAAAAAAGAGCCGAAGCGAGGCTTCTCCTCTGGCAGACCAAATAGAAACCCTAAACGCAAGATTTCTTCTCTAACTGGCGACTCTCTCTCTCTCTCCCCCTCTCGGTTGGCCAAGGAGGTGGCTCGGATCTAACTAATCCGACTGGGAATGCCACATATCGGGAAAGATTGGGAAATGCATGTTTATTTCGAAGTTTGATTTTGTTCTTATTTATTTATGTTATGATTCTAATTTGGGCCTTCGTTTTGGTTTTTGGTTTTTGGTTTTTCGTTTTTCGTTTTCGGTGGGGAGGAAGAGTAAACGATAGAAGATGGAGAACGACTCCCCTTTTGATTCAGGCAAGAAAACGACTCTAACCTCCCTAAATCAATCGAAAATCGACGATCTAAGTAAGATCCTCGACATGCATAGTCTTTTCAATTCGGTTTAGGTGATTTTATTTGGGACTCGGCTAATATTTTTTGAGTTTTGGTTTTCGTGCCAGGGGGGGAAGAAGCCGGGTGGAGACCGCCAGACCGAGGGACGATTAACGGTAGGCTCGGATTTGGTTTTTTTTATTTATTTTGGTTTATTGGTCTATTTTATTTGGGATCTGATTTTGTTATTTGGTATTTTTGCCGAGGTGGGAAAAGTACTCGTAGATCAGGAAGGAAAAAGGCCACCGACAGTCACTAGGTGTGGTTCTGTTTATTTTTTGCTTCGTTTATTTTTTTTCATGTCCTCATAACTGAAGGATTCTGACGATTGAGATTTTCCTGATGCAGGTTTTATGAGCAGACAGATCTAGGTGAGGTTTCTCTGAACCCGAGAGATTAATCTAAAAATGAATCTTATGGTTTATAGATTCTGGAGTAGCTACCAGATGCGTTTTTTTGGAAAAATCGTTATTCTTTGTTTTAGGCTCTTATTATATTTCTTATTAATTTCATAAGAACAAAGTAGTTTTAGACAAAATCCGTATCATTAATGATTGCGGCCACTGCTTGCAATCACTAAACTAAACTAAAGGTTCCACAAATCTTATTACTACTAGTTTGATTGGGATTTTTATTATGTATTAATTTGAAAGCTTATGAGCTTGTTTCGAATTCTAGGCTAGAAAAACTCTTCATATGTGTGTTTGATAATACGTGAGGGTTTGTTTGGTTAAGTTCCGATGTTTGGTTATGTTTTTCATATTTGTGTTTGGAAGATAGATGTTTTAATTATAGTTATCTGAAATACTGAATTGGTTGTATGTATGTTGGATTTTTCGGCTACTACTACTCTAATTCACATAAGAAATAGTGGTGTTTCTATGAAAATAAAGGAATTTAAACATGGTGAAGACTAAACTAGCTAGGCAAAATATATAGCTTTGTAAGGATGGTCAGCTATTGAATACCATAAGTAGAAATCAAACTATATGAAGATGGCATGAGGAGATCATATAAATGGAAATAGACTATGGAAGCAGATAGGTAGTTCATTGGACAAATTAAAAGGAGCTTGTCAAGATAGATTAAGAGTAGAATCAATCTATAGATGTATTAACCAGAATATAGTAACAAAGTAATACAAATCACCAACCTCAGATTCGAAGAGCACACTCCCCTCGCTTCTGTATTGGATACTTTGTATTGAAAGATTGATCACTCTTGTTGATTTGAGTTCTTTGGATCTCTAATTCATTTTTCTTCTACTATTACAAGCTTTGAACTTGAATTTTTTGTAAAAAAGGCCAACAGCAAAAATGTTTCTCTGTAGCTCTCCCTCTTTCCCCTCGAACAAGAGCTAGAAAGCTCCACTTATTGCAAAAATGAGTGCCACGTGTCACCGTCTAATTCGAGAGTTTTTAAGCTAACTTTGAAAGAGCGCCCCTATAGCTGTAGGTCGGTTATGGATAAGACTCGGCCAGGCCGAACGGGGTCTTTGGGTTGGTAGCTGGGCCGAACTAGGCCTAGAGTTGGGCTTCAGTGTGGACCTGCGTTGGGCCGAGTCTGTGTTTGATCCTTGGCTTGTTCATGTCTGGGCTGAATTTGTGGACCTGGCATCTGAGCTTTAAACTGACTTTTTTCCTTCTGTTACAGGTCCTTGGCTTATCAAAGGGTGGTCTCCAAATCAAGTGTTAATTTTTAACCTTGTTTCCAACTATGTAATATTAATTAGACCATTTGCTTCCATTATCACATGTAATCTTCATTTAATAATAAAGCTTTGCTGACTCAATCCAATTCGGCCACTTGCCTTCATCACGAGCCAAACTAAAATCCAAACACTCGAGATATCTCTTGAAAGTGACACATTCGCAACTTCATACAATCAGTAGCTGCAAACAACTAGTTCGATATAATTACCAAATACTTGGTATTCATTGGTTAATGTCGACTTGTTACTGCTATTCTCAATCAGGTCTCAACCAATCCACTTCCTTTTCAAATATAATTGTAGCATATTACCTGGTTTTTTTTGTAAAACGATTATCCCAGACAAAATGTGGTGTCTACAGTTACCCCCCCCCTTTGGATATCTCTTTGTATAAAGAGTTATACAAAGTTCTTATCAAGACATCCAAATTTTGAATATGAACATTTTAGAAGTGTAAGTTGAACTGACCATTTGGTAAGAATGACGTATTCAAATTGCTATAATGGTGGTAACTGAATTGTATAAGAAAATGGCAGGGATAAGATCAAACTGGCCATTTGGCAACATCGATATACTCAAGTTGTTCGTGGTAGAAACAAACCGATCAATTTGGAGAACATAAGCGATGGAATCAAACTAGTCATTTTGTAACAACGATATACTCAAGTTGTTCGTGAAAGAAATTGGATTGAACATGGGAAAAGGTGTTGACTATAAAATCAAGCTAGCAATTTTGCAACAAAGATGTATTCAAGTTGTCTGTGATAGGAATCAAGTCGATCAATGAGAAAAATGATAGCGATAAGATCAAGCTATTCATTTGGGTAACCATGATATGCTCAAGTTGTCTAAGATTGATATCAAATTGATCAATGTGAAAAATGACTGCGATAAGATCAAGCTAATCATTTTGTAAAGGATCTTGTACTGAAATTGTTTGTGATAGAAATCAAATCAAACAATGAGAAGATTCCAGCAATAGAGATCAAGATAACGATTTTGTAAAGGATAGTACTCAAATTGTTTGTGATAGAAATCAAATCAAACAATGAGAAATATGTCAGCGATAAAGATCAAGCTAACGATTTTGTAAAGGATATTGTACTCAAATTATTTGCGATAAAATCAATTCAAACAATGAGAAAGATGTCAGTGATAAAGATCAAACTAACAATTTTGTAAGGACGATTTACTCAAATTGTCTATGATAGAAATCAAAAAGAACAATGAGGAAAGTGTTAGCAATAAAGATCAAGCTAACAATTTTGTAAAGGATATTGGACTCAAATTGTTTGCGATAGAAATCAATTTAAACAATGAGAAAGATGTCAGTGATAAAGATCAAACTAACAATTTTGTAAGGAAGATGTACTCAAATTGTCTATGATAGAAGTCAAATATAACAATGAGGAAAATGTCAGCGATAAAGATCAAGCTAACATTTTGGAAAGGGCGTAGTGGTATTTCTCATGAGAAGTTTTCACCTGCTTTTATATGGACATTTTAGAAATTTAGAAAATGATTGTGATGCATAGAAAGTCACTTTGGTGTATAATGATGTCATGACGTGAGTATCAAAATGATTTGGACAATTTTGTGATATGTCATGCTGATGAAGTCGTGAATGTTGAGTGATATGATACATTTGAAAATTGGTAAGCAAATATGTTGTTGATAACGATGTATTTGCACGTGTTTACACCCTTATTTCTTATCCGTTTGCGGCTCCTAGTCGTGTATCTTTGGCCTATTTTACGTTGGGTTGTGCTATTTTGTCACATTGCAGGTCCCAGACGTCGAAGGAAGAGCTAGGCACGTGTTTCGGCGCGTTTGGACGTCGTTTGGTGAAGCTGGGGCAAAAACACGGGCAGCCCACTCCAAAGCACGACCGTGTTTTTACTGCCGAGAGCATGTTTGTGGTGGCTACTGAGGAGTCCAAAATACGGGCGCCATTAGAGCAGAACACGGTCATGTCACTCTTTGGGCACGATCGTGTTTTGGATCGACGCGGGCGTGTTTGCAACACATGAAGCAAAACACGGGCGGGCAAAAGCAAAACACAGCCGTGTCCTCGACCGTGTTTTGCTCAGTCTCGGGTTAAAAGGAGATTTCAAGCCAAAGAGAAGGGGAATCTGTTTTTAGAGATAGAGAGCAGAAAACCTAGAGAGAGAAAGTGACGAACAGAGTTTCCAATTGCCCTAAATCGATCTTCAACACCATTGGAGCTCGGTGGAAGCTTGGAGGAGTGTCGATTGATTACCAGAAGCAGATCTTCATCCTTCACAGAATGATTTCCGCATCTGAAGCAAATTTCTCTTCAGTCTCTATGGAGTAAACTCTCTCATTCACCTGGGTATGAAGAACCCTAGATTTATATGTTAGGTCTGGTTGTATGAACCTAAGTACAAGTTCTTTGATATTGATTATATTCAATCGAGGCATGATTTTCTGAATTGCATGAATCTTGTCAAATTCTTGTAGTTTCCGCTTTGACCTAGAAGGAGAATATCTGCCTAGGTTGATAGAGCACCCTTAATTGAAGGTAGTGAATAGACGACTTTAGTCGAGGATTCGCTTCACTATTCTGTATTGGATTCAATCCAGTAGAGGAGGTTTGGCACGTTAGGGCCTCAGTCTGTTCACTGCGGTGGAGGTTAGTCGCCCGCTAGGTATTCAGATTGATAGGGTCCGGAGACCTTTAGTCGAGACTTCAGACTGTCTAAGAACCTTCCACAATATAATTATCATTGAAACTGGACTGCGTGAATTACAACTTGGCTTAATTGTAGTCTAGGGGGAACCATATCTGGGTGACCTCTCTCAAACTTGGAACATAACATTTACTGCTATTGTTTGCTAGTTTAGTTGGAACTTCACTACAGTGGAACCGCTAAATAATAAGAATCTCACAGAGTAGTCATCACACCTAGGACCCGGGTTGACATTTAAATCTAAACCCGCTATACTACGCATTAGTAGGTGGTTACACTTGGCCACTTTCTAGTGTGACAGTACAAGCTTGTCAAGTTTTTAGCGCCATTGCCGGGGACGGCTAGGTTATTGAAGAAACGTGATTTGTGTTACTTTAACATTTTTTCCCGCATTGATTGTTGTGTTTTGTCCCACTTGTGCCTTCACGGGTTTGCTTGCTTGGCTGTGTGCAGGTAGTGTATGACCCGTAGCCAGTCAGGAGACTTACTACCGTTAGATTCAGAGCTAGAACGCACTTGTCGCTAGCTTAGGAGGCAACAACAAGCAAGACTGGCTACGGAGGAAGTGCACGTCAACGTCCATCTGAGCAGCGACTCCGAAGAGGAGTACGAAATGGGCGACGAGCACAACAGGGTGAACCTGAACATGTGGCACAACCAACCCCTGGGGATGCCCATGCAGGTTCCCCCAGTGAATTAGGTTCTGGACAATAACCCAGTTCCCCAGCCATATGGGGCTCAGCATCAACCACCCCCGACGGGTCCTACTATGGAGTACTACTACACTCCACGGATCGCCGACATCCACCCTGTCATCCTGTATCTGCCCATTCCAGCAAATAACTTTGAGATCAAGCCATGCTAGATTCAACTGATCACAATCCTCCATCCATTTTCATGGCCTTAAGGATGAAGCGGCGAGGGTGCACTTTTCCCAGTTCTTGCAGCTTACCAATGGGTTCAAGCTGAATGGTGTACCAGATGATGTGATCCATCTTCACATGTTCCCCCACTCTCTGGCGGGGCATGCAAAGAGGTGGTTAAAGACCCAGCCACCATTGTCCATCACGTCATGGGACGATCTGGCCGACAAGTTCGTGCACAGGTACTATCCTGCCTTGAAGACTTCGGATATTCAGCGGGAGATCACTCATTTCCGCCAGGAGCCAGATGAGTCACTACGTGATGCCTGGGAGCGGTACTTGGGATTCTTCTGGCAGTTTCCCCATTACGGTTTTAGTGATGCATTCACATTGGGGAACTTCTACAATGCTCTATCTCCAGAGAGCCAGAGGGTGATCGAGTCTCTATGCCTAGAAGAGGACATTCTCACTAAGACTCCACCCGAGATGAATAAGATGATCAGTACTTTGGATACTAGAGATCATTCTTGGGGGCAGAGCACTAGAGGCAGGAACTCCCGAGATCGAGGTGTGCATTCCATGGAAGCGAGATCCGGGCTACAATGGGAGGTGGCCGAGCTGGTCCAGACATTAAAGCAGCCCAACAGTCTTATTCCGGGCAGAGGATTGGCTGGCCATTCGGTTGCACAGTGCCAGTGGTATGAAAGCTCGAACAATTTGGTGAAAGACTGCCAGGCTATGCGGGAGTCTTTTACACCCCAAGAGCAGTTGGACTTCATCGCCAATGCTCAGCGCCTTGATCCTTAATGTGGAACATATAATGAGGGTTGACGCCAGCATCCTGTTGGGCCATGACCCATAGTCATCTCGACTGATCATATCAGAAGGCCTCATCACTCAAAACCCAGGCTGCGATTTGGTCTTCGTCGAGATCACCGAAAGCTTCTTCACCTCCATTCCAATCCCTAATTACCAGAGCATCAAGGAGAAGCTCCTGCACCGATAAATGACTTCATCAAATCGAGCCATTCAAAGTCTCTGTCAACGGTATCATCATTGAACCTACTGTTCGTCTGTTTCACCAGTGTGTATAACTTGAGTCAATCAATAGTATAAATGGGATAAGGCATAGCATAGTAACAAGTGGTATCAGAGCCCCCTTTTCGTGGAACCTCAAGTTGCCGAGAAGGAGATCCTCTGCCTTGCTATGTCTTCTAACTCATTCCCTACTAGTTCAAATCCACCTTGGTTTTCTGGTTCAAACTATTCTGTATGGAAGAAAAGAATGAGACTCTACCTCCGAGGAATCGACTGTGAATTGTGGGCAATTGTCCGCAATGGACCAATTGACATGAAAGAAGACGATGAGGAGGATTGGTCTGATGAACAAAAGAAAAGTGATCAACTAGATTCTAGGGCTATGCACATCTTATTATCTGCAATATCATATGATGAAGGTGAAAGAGTTAACAAATGTGAAACTGCCAAAGAAATTTGGACAATCCTAGAA